AATGTTTGCATAGAAGAGAGAGAGAGAGAGAGAGAGAGAGACTATATTATAGTCTATATATTAAGTTATGATTGAGACCACAATAGAAACAAAAAATACTTTCTTCTAACTAGATCTAGATATACAGCGTTGATGTGCTGTACTGTACACTACATGTAAGTCAAAGCTCTTACAAAAAAGAGTAAGAAAACAATGGAAATAATTAAATATTTGTTTTGCTGTTTTGTAACTAAAACTAAAGAAAAAGAAAACTGTTTTTGTTTTTGTGTAAACAAATTGAAACCAAAACGAAAGATATAATTGTGTCGAAAGAGACAACTTTTCGATAATAAAAGATTTGTTTTCTCTTGACTTACGTTTTCATATATTTGTCTGATTTGGCTGTCATTCAGCAATTGTTTGGGAAATCCTATATAACTAGTTATAGCTTTCGCTTTGTCTAACGCCTTCTCTTTAGTCTTCTCATCCATCCATTCAACACTATTTAGCATTTTTATGAATTCTTTGTGAATAAAATTAACCATTTCTTCGACCTTTTTTATACATAAAAAATTAATCTAATTAAAATTGCCGACAAAACATTAATGTTAATTAATATACTTTATGTTTGCTTTCTTTATGGAAATATTTGCGGACATAAAGCGCAGAAAAGGCTGCGGTTAGAGAAGCGGCAGATTTGGTGCATACGTGCCAACGCGGAGGCACTGCCTTTCGGCCGGTAATCCGATGCGAATACAAGTCATACAATTGAAGCCATTTTGGATGTAATAGTGGAAGACTAGATAGGATTACATCCGCTATCATATGATTCGCTAAAACCCTTTGGCGTACAGAGAAATGTCAAATTATATCACATGTTATGAAATATAATTAATTGTTTTACATGTCATGCAAGTGTAGTCTACGTTACAAATATTAATTATTTAAAATCATTTTAATAATCAATTATCAGATCATTTATTATATTAATAGAGACTAAAACATAACACAAATTGAGATTCACTGAATTGACTGAAACAACAAAAACAAGATATAATACCGTTTATCCGTTAGTATAAGCATGCGATCAATTTGTTTGACATAATTAGGGTTATTAACAATCACTTCATCGCTCGGATGAATGGTTTGCCTGAAAATGCCACTCAAAAGTCTTATCCATTTGGTCTAAAAAATATTTAAAACACTTTTATTTGTTATCCTTTCGCTCTATTTATTTATTTAAAATGCCATTTAATTGATCTCACATTTGGGGCAATTAATTGCAAGTCTTTTACAGTCATTTTGTTGTAAAGTTCGCTTACGTTTCGGCTCTCCTCCTGAGGTCGTGTCCACTGAAAATGATTAGACATTTATTTTCAAAAACAACATTCAGTAAAGCAATCATAATTAATTAGATAATCATAAAAACAAAACCTAATGCTTACGTTCACTATTTGTATTTGAAAATTAATTAACTCTTTTATTTCATTAAATGGATTTGAATTGAAATGTTTGACTCCTCCAAGAAGTAGAGCGCTTTCGACCAGTAGTTCATAGTATGCCTTCACGTTTGGCTCATCCAAACCCCTTAACATGACATTCCTGTCCCCAACTCCGGGCATCACTTCTCCTATCTATGGATTTTAATTTCCGTTTAAAAACATTTCCATACGATAAGTGTATTTAACAATTTGTTTACTGTTATTAAATGTTTAGTATTATTTTTGATGTCCAGTCCGACAGAGATGTGATAAAATTCATTAAAAGGCAAACCAAGTTCTCTCATCTTTAAGTTAGTATCGATCCAATCAAATGAATCACTTTTCCAAAGAGAGCCCTCGACTACAGGCCATCCGCCCAATGAGGACAATATGCCGATTAACGGGTCGTCTCCTAAACGCATTAATTGGCCTTTCGGTCCGTTTTGTGAAATTATAATTATATTTCATTCATAATAATTGTCACAAATAATATGATACTTATATTATTTATTCGTATTTTTACACTAATATTGCGATAGAGTTTTTGATAAGAAATGTTAACAAAGCTATATTTAGATAACATGAAAGCATTTGTAAAGTATATTGTACCAGTAATGTGTATATTGTAATATAATACATTAGAATAAAATTTATTTAATTGTATTTAATAAACTAATTTTATATGTTTATAGATCAAATAGTTATAATAGGTTGTCATTAAAATACTGTATATTAATCCTCGATTGTAAGTTTACGGTATATTTTAATTTTTACTCCTATGTCAATTTTGTGATAATGTTTTTGATGGTAAAAACCTTAAATAAATAGTCTTTAAGGTGTCTAAAGGCTGGCCTTCAAGAAATTATTTAAATTAATTATGACTGCTGCTACAAATACTAATTATAATAAATAATGAACAGTGTAATATCTCGTATTTATTGATGGCTTGTATTGAAGGTCTGTTTTGCATTAAAAAAGTATTGTTTTAGACAAAATTCCCAACAGTTTATGTGAATTATATGGAAATTAAATGATAAAATAATATATTTCTCACAAAAATGTAATTTGAAATAAATTAATCATATGATTGGAAATCATATTAAAATAAATGCAACAGAAATGACACAAACATGAATGAAAAACTCACTTAAATTCATGCAAGAGGTGTACATTTTTTTGATATTTTTAAACACAAGCAGATCTTCAGGTTTTGCCGTCTCTTCAACTAAAACTATAAACAAAAATAAATTAAATTTAGATCTGTTTCTAATAGAATCTGTAATAGAAATGCTATTTTAAGCACAAATTATAAAATAAATTAAAATAAATTCGCCTAAAAATAAACCTCTAAATTGGTTTTCCATCGCCTCTACGATAACACCTGTCGTCGAAATGGATAGTCTATTGTCGGGAATCATTGAATTGTTAAGCCATTGGCCACAAGAGAATCTGCAGAATAATGTCCATTAAATATAATGAACAAAGAAATAAATTGATAAATATTTCCCACATCTTGCGAGTATTTGTATTTGTATTGTATTTGAGTTTTACCTATAAAAATCATCGCACGGCGATATACTTTCGTCTATGTTATTAATAAAGGTATGCGCTATGAATACAATGCATATAATCATTAGTATTAATACATTATATTAAAAGTGAAAGAATTGCAATAATTTCACAATGAATTTAATTACCGGCGCCGACACACGTCGGCGTTAAGCAAACATCATATTCTGGTTTATTATTTATTTTTCCCATATTTTTATCACGTCTTCTGTCGCCGAGAACTCTCACAACATTAGAGTCCAAAAGATGTTTTTTGTCACTCATATAAAACTCCATTAAATCATGGCTTACATCGAGAAATACCAAAATCGATGTCAGGATTACTGAAACCGAGAAAAGGATAACAGAAGAGATGACGAGTCGTTTTTCCAGTGATGACCGTCGGCTCCACCAGTCGTTGTGTCTATTAATACATTTTTCAGTTATATAATTATTATAACTATAGATAGAATTATACAATAAGTCTATGGATTAGTTAAAATATCATCAATGTAACTTATTATCTTGTAACAATGTAATTTAATTTTTTTAAATTTCAATCTTAAAGAATTAATATTTAATAAGTTTTGTAGGTATTTGTTGGTAAAATACAAACACAATAAGTGTTTTCATACCTGATCTTCATTTTTACTTTATTTAATGTGTAGTAAAGTAAAAATTAATTTGATAAAATATTAAGCATTAAAGCACAACAAATTTAATTAAATTTATAACTCAACTAAAACTTTAAAATATAATCCAATTTATATTAAAATTTGATGAACAAAATATATCAAAGTTGTTGCTATAATTGTGATGAAAATATAATTCATTTAATGAAAGTATTAAACAAAGTATAGATTAAACGATTATCACAAAAATAGTATTATATTTCAAACCTTGAGAGTAAATTTTTTAGTGGGAATATTTATATCATAATACCCTAATACTTGTTATATAAGCCATGTATTTTTACAAATATTATGTTTACAACAAATTAATCATGTTGCGTTTATTCACAAATTCTGTAAGAAATAAAAACAAGATCTTTTTCTGAAGAGTTTAATCTCCATTCGTTTAATCAATTAATTTATTCAAAAAATAATCAACTATTTAAATATAAAACTCATTTATATAAGTTAGTGACGTGTTATAAATTTATTTTAATATTAATAAAAGATTTAGGTATTTTTTAGGTAAAAATAAAAATTTTAATAACTGAAAAACCGATTTTAATATTCTTTCCGAGCGCTTAATCATATGTTTTTATTGTCATTATTAATATCATATGAATTTTATTATCAGTTTTATAAATCTCTAAACTTTAAATTAAAAATAATGAAATTAATTAGAATTTTTGTTACAATATTTTTTCAACAAATGATAATATTTTTATAAGATAAGTATTTTTACTATAAATAGTGAAAATAATATTAATTTTAATATAATACTGTATATTAAAAGCTACGCTTAATATGTGTTCAGAAATAGATTTTAAAAACAAAGTTTAAATTCTAAAAGAATAAAATGAAATTCAAGTTTTGGACATAAAAATAATTGAATGTCTAATAAATTATTTAGTAATGTATTTGTTTTTGCATTTAATTTATATCGGATTTCTTGTAAGAAGTTGTATTATAACGTGTGTTAAGAATGAATGAAATGATTTTAAAATTCCCATCACTTCTCTTGATTTTATTTTTGAATCAATACTTTCCTTAAGAATCTATTCTTTAATGTGGTTTTGTTTATACATTTAGTTTTTGTTAATTATGTTTTCTTTTGGATATATTTTTTGTCTATTTGTCAAAAAAAATTTAATAAATTAAAAGTTATTTAATAACAATATGCTAACTCTTTATAAACATAATTGAATAATTTATTAGTTTTTAAAGAGTGATGTAATTAAAAATAATGATTTTTATGTTAATAAGTGTCAGTATTATATAATTTAATTTTTTAATTATATAAAAAATTATAAAACATCATTTCTCATGTGAATCAGTCATTTATTATTGTTATTTTTATATGATTTTTGAAAATATATTTAAATTACCGCAAAAAACAAGGTTAAACAATTCATGTGATATATTATTTATATAGTATTACATTAAAACTATCCATATTTTTTAGTAAACAATTATTTATACAAAATAAAACTGTTTTGATTTATTTATGTATTTGTATTTTGTTGACTGAATTAGTTATTTATTGTATTTTGTTTGCAGTATTTATTGATTTCATACATGATAAGTCTATACTCGCTTATATACAGTACGTTTTTCCATTTATTTTCCATTATAAAAATATTTTTAACCACAATTCA